GAGCAGAGAAGATTTTCAAATAATAATATCTAAAACCCAGGAGCAGAGAAGATTTTCAAATAATAATAAATTTTCACTGTATAATCAATATAGTCCCGTCTTAGCACTAGAACCCCTGACTCTGGGGCCATGAATTTCACAATTTTGGAAAAGTACTCAATGCTCATTGCATTAACAGCTTGATGTCCAGGAGTAAAGAAGATTTTTACAGATTTCATTATTTTAGTGGTTTAAGCCCTAATCCTCAGGCTGCCCCAGGGGGCCGGGGACCATAAAATTCACAATTTGTGTTCCCCTTCACCCATAGATGCTGTACATCAAACGTCAACTGTACATCAAATTTGGTCGAAATTTAAAGAAGATGCTGAAATGTTCAAATGTAAACAAACGACACACGACGACGGACGAAAACGGATAGCAATAGGTCACCTGAGTGACCCAGTAGGTGATCCGGGGTGATCTTGTAAATACCATTCAGAAGAAACGACCTGACCAGCAGACAGAAGAGTTTCTTTGTCATCAAGACAACGCCCCCAGCCGCCGCGCTATATGCCAAAGTGTTTAGATGGATTTGTTACGTTTTAATCGTATGAATCACATACGCACCATACAGTACAGATTTCACCATACAGTACAGATTTCAAAGTTTTCAAGTCATGGATTTCGACGTTTTCATTCCGTTACGTGGCTAAAAAAAATAAGAGAAAGAACTAACTGATGCAACTCGAATAATTGTCAGTAGATTATATGACAATGGTAAAGAGATGCACTCAGTGAGTGGGTTAGACGCCACAGATTGTGTGCGAAGTGCAGATGGGAGAATTAAAAAAAAAAACTGTAAAATAAGACGTGATCGCGTTATAAATCTGACGTTAAAATATTGTTGAAAGTTCTCCTTTGAGACACAACTAGATGATTTTAAAGTAGAATAACTCCAGTACCATTTATTAAAATTTTTAAAAAAATTGTAGATCGGGAAATAAATGTTTTGAAACATAATAATGTGTGGATCTTGAATTTTTTAAAAGAAAAATTGCCAGGAGCTACAGTGTCTAGGAACATTATGAATTACCCTAACAAAGCATTGTTTTGAATAGATTGGGTCATGTCTCTTTTTTTTTAAACATTGATTGGAAACAAGAAGTGAGCCAATGCTCACTTGTAAAACTCTGCTCTGATGAAAATATACAATATCATGTTAATAAACAAGTTAAGTTACGGGAAGATGCACGGATCAATAGAAAGTTGATAAGATTTATATGTATATAAAGTATTACTTAAATTTCAAGCATCTGCGATGAGTAGTTGCTGAGAAAACTGCTACAATAATATATTATGTATGAAATGGACAGACGCACGAACAAACTGGAAGTTGACATCGGACTAGAACAAAAATGAATCCCACCACATGCCTCAGAAAAGATTTTGTTAAAAATTCAAACTGCGGCAAAAGTTTGAAATGTACAAAGCGGATATACGCACGGATAAACAGGAAGTTGACATCAGATTTGTAGAAAAACCATTCCCACCATATGGCATGCCTCAGAGAAAATTGTGTTAAATTGTCGAGCATCTGCAATGAGTAGTTGCTAAGAAAAGACACACGGGCAGACGGAAGGATAAACAAGGGTAAAATAGTATTCTCCCCTCTCTTTCGGGGGTATAAAAGTTTCAGAATCTTTTTACACTTGCAAACAATTGAAAAAATTTCACTGTGATCTGAGTTTCAACCGAATTTTAATACTTTAAGTCATACTACAAAAATATAGTTTTCCTCGAATAATTTCATCTTAACTGTATCTGTATACGTCAATGGTCTCACTTATATTTTTTGTTTATTTTCTTTATTGCTTACGAAAACATTAGAGCAAGTGGCGGAGATCCGTTCGATCCAACCTCTCACAGCCAAGCAGGCGCTCCACCAATGCCCTCATCTCTACAAGATTCCCCACCATCAAAATCAATAACAGACGTGAAGAACAAGTATAAGAATGCCAATATAAAGAAAACAAATCCACCTTAAAAAATGGCGGATGTTTTTCATTCCAGGACACGATATTTTTTCACGAATATTCCTTTCATCCCGTCAAATATGTTGAATTTTTTAACGATAACAAACCTATGACCCAGTAATTTAACTTTAAGTTGGGAGGGCAAACAATTTATTTTATTTAAGGTGGCCCAATCATCATTTATGGCAAGTCGTTTTAACTACAAATCCAAGTGTCTGCTATTTGAGAGACATTTACTTCCAAAACGCATTTTTAACAAACTGTACCAGTTACAGCGAATAATGCTACCATCACTCAATCTGGATGTGTCTTAGAATACTAATAATGTATATGATAAAGAGTCTATTAAATATTAAACAAATAAAAAAAAATGATAATGAAATTCTTAAGTCAAATCATTTATTTTATATGGATTATACTGTAAATCACATATTTTCGAGGGGTCAAACTTTCGTGGTTAGAGGAAAATACATTGGTTCACTGGGGTTTGATTTGGTGGTTGAAGAATTTTTTAGTAGTAATATATGTGAAAAATTGCATTTCAAGGTGGATATGAATTCATGGGTCTCATACCTCGAAAACCGCAAAAGTGATTTCACAATTTTGGATCTATATTGAACAAAAAATCAAATCAGAATTTTAGAGTCAACACATTTAAAGTTATTCATGTGTTTTGTATGGTTTTTCAATAAAACTAAGTTTGCTGAAATTTTAATGGCACTACTAAAGCGAATATCTTTTCTGCATTTTCATAGTATTTTTTTTTAAAATTCAAATACATGTTTTGCATTGATTACTATGTAAAATGATAAGCATGTTAATCTAAGGAAAAGTAAAACACCAAGGTATTTTTCCTAGAAAGGAGTGTAACAGAGACATAAAATCAATGTTCTCCCCGTCAGGAAAAACCATCAAGTATATTTTCTCCGTCCTTGCCGATGGAGTAATAAATTGAGACAGTACAAAACCATCATGTCACCATACTGCAGGGAGAATGGATATGAACTCAAGAATAACGCCATATGGTTTATTTAAGGAATAACTCTTATTTTTCGAATTCATGAAGTGATCAATGGATTGGCTTGTGTGATAATTTGCATAAACGCCGAAGGCGGTTATGCATAAAATTATCACACAAGCCAATCCATTGATCATCTTCATGTATTCGAAAAATCTGACAGTTATTCCTTATATTTACATGCTTTGATTCCGCCAATCCACGGGCTCCAAGCCTGCTTCTCTCTAGCTGTTGTCCCGCTCTGCACGTGTTTTTTTTGGAACCGCGCCAAAACATTCATGAGGAAATAAATTACATTTACAATTGGTAATTTTATCTCGGACAAAGACATTGGAAATGTAAATTTCTATACATGTATTTGATTATATCTATATAAAAGTCTTAAGTAATAAACACAAATACTCACAAACTGATCAAAATTATAAATTAGCTAAGCCAGGCACAATTTATGCAGTTTTTCATTAAGAGACCATGAACTTGCACATATGACTTGGTCAAATGCCCAGGAAGCGTCATTCAAGTGAGTGCGCGCCCAGAGTGAACTCCTCACATTCGGAACCAAACAAAACGCCCACGAAACACTGCTGAAGTGTGTTGGCCCACAGTTCTCCTTTCAGAAGGATTTCCTCCTATATGGATTCAAGTACATCTTAAGGGAGAAATTAAACAAAGGCGTAGGACATTCCCCATCATGACCTTCAAATCTCTTAATAAAGCGAGAGTAAAACAGAAATGGTTTCTAAACCTCTACTTTTGATTGTTGTATATTGTTTAACGTCCCTCTCGAGAATTTTTCACTCATATGGAGACGCCACCACTTGCCGGTGGAGGGCTACAAATTTTGTCCTATGCTCGGCACTCAGGGCCTTTGAGCAGTGAAGGATCTTTTTCGTGCCAGTACCCACTGCGACACGGGGCCTCGGTTTATACGGTCTCATCCGAAAGACGGTCTCCACGTCCCTCTACCTTGGATGTCAAAATTAATTCTTATTCTGTATTTGGACATGACCATTTTTCAACACAATAAAAACAATTTCCTGTATTTTGAAGATCTGTCACCACCAACAAATGAAAATAAAATCTCTGAAACGACATCGAGATGCGATAACTCATTTGTTTTTCTTGACATGGAGTAGTCTCAAACTCTGTCATCAAGGACAAATGATCAAGGTCTTCATTATCCAAACAGCATTCACACCTGGACTTGAACTGCAACTCCAACAAGAAGAGACAAGAAGATCTACTAAATAAGACAAAAATACTCCAAGTAAGAGCAGTAAAATATTGTTTAAAAAATATCAAATTTTCTCCATGTATTGGTCTGGACATTCAAAATATGGTAGCTTTCAGAATTTTTTTTCTGTTCTAAAGATTTCGACGAATGAGAGCCAATTTGCTGGGAGACTGTTACGTCTTGACATCAGATATATCATGATTTTGATTTTTCAAGTGAAATCATTAATAATGTTGATCTTTGTAACAATGGGCCAGAAGATTCAGTTTATAACCAACCTTGCACAGTCAGCAAACCTATTTATGAAGTCAGGAGACCTTTTACTTTCATGATTATTGTCATGACATTTTAAAAGGTGTTCAATTAATGTCACTAATGAAAAGCTGTTGTTCAAAATTGCTAATGCAAAGTATTGTTATTAAACAAAAGTATGGATTTAAAATATTTTAATTTTTATAATCACATATATTCAAGAATAAAAGCTTACAGCCTCTAATTTTTGTACGAAGCAATTTTATTTACTTGCTGTTTTTTTTTTCTACTTTCCGAATGCAACGTAAACAATTTTAATCATCTTTTGGAATTTTTTTCTCACACAACGTTGCAATCACATTGCGTACATGAAGTTTTTCCTGATATATCAGAACTGAAGGAAGACATAGTAACAACAAATCAGCCAGTATGTTAGGGCCCCAGGTTTGCATCAAGTTTTTCGTATCTGATGATCAGATTTAAACGGATAATAAACGTCGTTTTGTTGATAATTTTGTTAAGAATTTGATCACACTCAACATGACTCGTACGTATCCCTTTTCTTATATTTTAATGATTTCATGTCATTATCTGCGTTTATTCCCCCGTATAAAACCAATACAATGCTCTGAAAAACGTTCGCTGAATTTTTGCTTCCTGGTCAAAAATTCAGTCGGTCATTTGCATATTCCGATGATCTTTGGCTTGACCCTACTCGGAATCAAGTTCGGTTGATGATGGCGGACGCTAAACCAAAATCGAATCGGGGAAGAAAACCCACACTGACTGATTCTGGGCGGAGAAGAAAGAAAAAGGAAACTAATGCTTTGATTAACAGGTCCCGTTTATATGTTGGTGAGCAGTACGATCGCTGGAACACTTTGAAATTGACCCTTCGTCTACAGACGCATGCTGAAGTTGCCAAAGTTTTGCTTGATCGGTATGTATCGATACATGATCAAATGATGTCAGCGTTGTCAGAAATATTGTCAAATATAAGAACTAGAACCGGGCTTAATTTATAAATTTATGATTGTCTCTAATTATCTCAATATATTCCATTTTATGCTGTCTTATATAGATGTAAATTTTATCAGGATAAGTTGTTGCGAGATTGAGAAGATTTTTCAAGGACACTGTTTACATCAGTGGGGCCCCCCTAAGAGGTTTTGTAAAAAAAAAAAAAAAAAACAGAAAAAGACACGAGAAATTGAGCATTTATCAAGTTGATTCGCTAAAAATGACATCATATTGATTTTAAATAAATGTTATAATAATATAATTTAATTATATCTGTTATACGTATATTTAAGGTATGAACAAAGCGAAAAAGATTTTGTACAGCCAGTTCTTCAGACAAGGAATGTTGCAATGGCTTCACCTGATTTAACAGTAAAACATGGTCTGACATCAACACCAGGGATTCTCAACACAGATTCTACAGATAGGTAATTTTTATATTATTTGTTGTTTTACTCAAATTTTTGGTGTTTGTATGTATGTGTGTTTTCTTCTTTTTGTGAAAAGCAGACAAATTAGTACATTTCATTAACCATTTTAAATATAATTAATTTACAATATTTCTTCAATTTCAACTTCAATTTCCCTCTGTAATTTCAGTGATCGGGCAATATCAGGCGTAGGAGCATTACCAACCAAGAGGCCAAGGGTGGAAAAATCAAAACAATCAACGAGAGTAAGTGTATAGATATCAAATTTTGTTTGTTTGATCAGGTTATTACTGTACATTGAAAGTAAGTATTCTTTTTATTTGCCAGGGTAGTCTATTATTATTATATTTGCAGGTTGTCCATTATAGATGTATCTGATTCAGAGTGTACGAAAGCCACAGTTCTGATGTCGATTACGAGCCAAGTTTAAATATCACTTTGAGGTAATTTTTTGGCTTTTTTCTCTAGTTTCAGTCTTTTTCAGTACATTTAAGATGATATTTGTACAAATATACCGGTACATAAAATTATTTCAGACCCAACAATTCTTTTTTTTTTTTTTATCTCAGATTGCACAAGAGTCGGATAAAAAGGAATTGCTGCCTTGGACGAAAGACATCATGAATCATTTTTGGTATGCAGCACAAGTTAGTGATACATATGAAACTTTCATAGTAAGTATTTTCTAAACTTGGTCAAGAATGAAGTAGCCACTGCTACTTATATTTAATTCTTTTAATATTTTACCAATCATTTTTAGGGTGTATGGTTTGGACTACTTCATCATGTCACTGATGAGCATGAATGGATTTTACCCTTCAATGACAGTGGAATAAATGCATGTCAACATGGTCCCCTGACTGAGGAAAGAACCAAAGGGTGGCTGGAAAAGAATTCCCCTGCTCACAATGCCCTGCGCTATGTTGTCATGGATAAGAGACGACTGAATCAGATACACTACTATTTAAACTGCAGGTAAAACATGTTTGATATCAGATATGTATGTACATGTATAGTGTTCAAACTTTTGTGAATGCATTGTTCAATCTACATAAAAGATCTTTTTCATACTTAGGAGTACTGCTGAGCTTGAAAACTTTCAAAATTCGATACTGGTGTACGCCTCAAAAAGATTTTCCTACAGTCCACCCACATACAGGGCACGGAATCTTCTTGCAGCCTTAGATCACAATGGTCACGCAGAGAGGGAGATAAAGATCAACAAGGATGGAAGTGTTAGGTCTGTATCCAATGCTTATGTAATTTGGAATCTCCATGCAATATTTTAAATGATGACATTTTTTTTCGGGAGAAGCTTGCACTACATATCACAGTATTTTACAATGAAACGGAGGTTTATAAAACTATTACAGGTATCAGAGGTCTTTTAACAAAAAAACTGGGATATGGTCTGTCCATGAATTGAAGGGGGATAAAACTTATAGTTACATACAATCTCTAGTGGAAAAGATCGTCAAAAGAAGATTAAATGATGAAGGAATGAGTGGCAATGTTGTCTTGGAAGCAGATGATCCAAGAAGAATATCGAAAACTCTGGCCCGCATTCCTCCTCCCCCAACTGCACAGCTTGTGAAGGAGAGGAAGTCTCGATTTGAAGATCCAGACAAAACATTCGACTATTAATGGGACTCTTGAAAATATATTTATTTGTGTAGAATGCAGTGCATGCAAGCATACTAGATACAAGGTCATGTGATACATCATAAAATCCCTATTAAGCGCCCCTGCCACTATAAGCGCCCCCTAGGTTTTTTTCAATTATCAGGAAATAAGGGCCCCCTGCATAGTGATTACAATAATCTAGAATCGTATCAAAAGTCTGCCAAAATTTCAAGAAAGTAAAAATGAAACTTGCCTATTATCCAATTTCTCAGTGGAAAATGAATCATTTAATTAGTATAATTTGGGTGGATTATCTTCACTGAAAGTAAAGTTAGACAATGCTTTAGTGGTTCTTTGAATTTTTTTTTTCAAAAAGAATTTTATATTCCCCGCTTGAAAAGCAGGAGGTTATATAGTTTGAAGTTTAAATTATGACATTTATAAATATCATAACAAGAATACCAAAATAACTGCCCACTCTTCGGAATTTTCTATGCGCCCGGGTGGGTAATAGGGATCATATGATAATATTCCTTACCAACTCATAAATTGCACATTCAATATATTTATTTATCAAAAGACTGTCAAATTTTCATGAAAATATTGTGATAACAAACAGTAATTCAAACTCAAAAGTTCATTTATCACATTGCCTAAATGTTTATTTCAAAACCTGAATGAATTAATTATTTTTGTACAGAAGCCAAAAGCTGAAATTACAAGATTGTTCTGAATTGAAATCTTATTTATCTTTTACTTGATTTCCATAATGTACTCTAAAGATGGAAGGGACTGTTATGCAAGTCGGCCATGCACAAACCCTGTATATTGTCCAAAAGGATCAGGAAAAGTATCCCTGATCCTCCACACACAACAGCTTGGAATCACTCGCCGATTCCCAGCACCAAGCCGACCATACTGCCAGAGGATGTATTGCCTGTAGGCAGTATGACGGTTTCCTCTGTTCCGGTCATTGTCATTTGGAACTGCAAGGACATCCTGCCTATATGTCCTGGCAACGTGGAAGATTAACTCGTCTAACACCACAAGATCAAAATCCTGAAAGCATAATTAAAACTGATCAAGATTTTATATACATGTACCATGTTATTGAGCATGAGGTTAATATCAAGGATTATATATAAATTTAAATATTAGATGAAATTTTAGATAAGTATTTTGTTAACAACACATTATAATATTGAGAAGCAACTAACTCTGATCCTAGAAAAGCAGTTTTCTGGCAGCTGTCCACAACATAGCCGTTCTGCTTCAGTCGGCATCTCTTTGCAGTTCCTGCAGGAACACCAGTCTGGACTTCCCTGGTCTGGTGATGGGTGATATCCTTGATGCATTCTAGTCCTGCTTCCTGCCTCAAGGATGCCAAAAACAAAAGCTGGATTCTTTGCGATATATCAAAAAGCAACTCCCGCACATTCTCTTCAGAGAGATTACTAATGCGCTCCTGGAATTAAACCCACAATCATATCATAATGTAATCTAAAATTTTATTTACTGATTAAATTTGCTACGTTAATAATATGTTTACACTGACATCAGTAATATAAATTCTTGCCTTCAGTTCTGTGGTTCTTTCTACTCTGGCAGTTGCTGCTATGTCAGCTCTGTTAGGGGTCTGAACTCGACCACCACGGCCTCGACGTCCACGGGTCAGCCCTCTACCTCTACCTCTGGTCATGCTCCCAGCTCTCCTTACTCTTCTCTGACTGTGCCCTCCTCGTCCTCTTACCACTCTATCTACATTCTCATCACTTATATGTTCCTCTTCAGAAGTCTACAACATCAATGAGTGACCATGCATATCATTGTTTTTATGTTCTGCACAGTACATTACCATAGCCATGCTGATACAGTTTCCTATTTGATATTCAATTTAAATTGTGATAAATATTATAAAACAGGATTGCTATGCTATGTGATAGTATTTTAATAGATGTTCAATATATTTAACGTAAATTGTACTTATATACATGTAGGACCTAGCATGGAAAAGTTAGAGCTAGAGTGTACTTCATATTTTATGAAGTTCAGTGTTGCATCTTATTCAAAATTCATTTAATCTTTTTATGCAGTGATAATATACGGTATTCAAATAATTGGTGAAAAAATTTCTTTGATTATTCATAGATAATTATACTAATATAGATCAAGTTATCGAAATATTTTTGTTTTCGGTTGCCCCTTACGGGGCCCCTTTGAAGTCCGAGAAAACGTTAGGCTCATGTTCTTAGATTGATTGATTGTATATTGTTTATCGTCCCTCTTGAGAATTTTTCACTCATATGGAGACGTCACCGTATGCCGGTGAAGGGCTTCAAATTTAGACCTATACTCGGCACTCAGGGCAATTGAGCAGTGAGAGTTCTTTATCGTGCCAGCGCCTACCGTGACACGGGACCTACGTTTTTAAGGTCATATCCGAAAGACCCGTGACTTTCACTTCTAGTGCCGAGCGCTTGGCGAAGGAACAGTCACTACCTTTGTTTACGTCTTAGGTATGACGCGGTGCCGCGAACGAGAATCGAACCCGGGCCTCCCGATCACGAAGCGAACGCATGTTCTTAGAGTAATTAGCATCTAATTCCATTTACCGCTTCCCTGAATGATTATTATAAAGAATATCTTCTGTCAAAATACAAATAAGATGCTTTTGTACAATGCTTCATTAAAAAAAAGTTCTAAAACTTACATTTTGTGCATCGGATTCCATGCCTGCAGACTTTCGGTAATCTTCGTTATCAGCAGCGTGCGCACTACGAAGCATCCTCGGAACTGGCTACGATGCTTAATTATGTAATAATTATATTGTTTTGAAATGATAATTCCTGGTTAAAGTTTAGAATTTATTCAAGTCCAAAAGTACAAAATCAAAATTCACATTTTTACACAAAAATTCCTAAAGTGAGAGTGAATTACAAACAAACTCAGGCACGTCTCATCTTTGACAACTCCTCCCACATTTCATAAATGAACCAATGAAACAAGTTAAAAGACAGTAGAAAAGTTTGGGGAAAGCTCAATGACATTAATTTATAACACAGGAAACAATTTGAGTAAGCATAACAAATTCAAAGAAACACCAGTCTAAGATCTGACCATAAACCTGATAACAATTATGAGCTAATGGCATCGATACCGTGGGATGGAGAGAGAGATGTCAAGTTTGAGAAATTACAAACACGTGCAGCAGTGCTTTTTCTGAAGATCAAATAAAACAATTAATTTTCAGTTACAATTACAAATTCCCAGTACATCAATTATAATATTTAAACAATACCTAAATCATAAGTACATCTAAGAAACTAACAAATTGTCTTTATCAAAAATATGAATTTATACGCATGTATATAACATCCGCCCCCTAAAAAAAATTGGCATACAATTTTAAACATTTAACGATAAAGACAATCATAAAATACGCACACAAAAGAAATGTTATACAAAATGATAATGAAGAAAATATAATACATGTACAAGAAGAAAAATACATTCTAGTAATGAAATCAGAAGTGAATAAAATGTTTTTTCGAAGCATGTATACTTTGGTACCATCAAACATTCTCACATTCATACAAACATAATATTCAAATCAGAGTGCATCATAAGAACTCATAACTTGCGCTGCAATGCATAGTAAAAAAAAATGTAAACAACAAATTCTCGAATATGGTTGTTCAAAGTATAACCTGTATGGAATAACACATCCTCGGTTAGAATAAATCATACCACTTTCAAATAAAGATAAAACAATATTCAAGTACGTAATTGCATAAGGTATAACCCTGACGGAATAAAACATCCTTGGTTAGAAAAAGCAATTAATATATCAAATCAACACAAAATTTTCATATTACACAATGTATGTCACAAATACTGCATACTACTACTATACAGAATTGCATAAGGTATAACCCTGTCGGAATAAAACATCCTTGGTTAGAAAAGCAATTACTATATCAAACCAACGCAAAATTTTCATGTTACACGATGTATGTCACAAATATTGCATACTAGTAATTCCTACCCTCAATTTCTACCGTTTTCAACAATATGTGTAAGCTGTAATACTTGTGGAATAAAACATCCGTAATTACATAAACATACATACATATGAAACACTGTAAATTAATACAGATCAAAAGTATCAAACAAAGTTATACACATATATTTACAAAAAGGGATCATGCCTCATATCAAGCATGTCATCGCTTTATGCAACATTCATAACTTTGTTACCGTACTGGCGCTTACTTTCAAGCTGTACATTATAACAAAGTTGCAAAAGAAACGATATATGACATCATGATAAAAAAACGTATCAACTCCAGGCATCATTACGCCTCAGAAGTATACAAACTATCTCTCACAACAGCTACTTCACATTGGTAGCTCAAATTGTGACCAATACCCATTAGAAATTAGCACTATGAGAAAAGTGTACTAAGCTCTTGCAGTTAAATAACTTGAGCAAAATAGACACACTCGTACCAATGCATAATTATAATGATATTAAAAACAAAACACACCAATAGCACATTGATATCGCAAATCGTAATAAACAACAACAAAAACTACTTTCATGCAACTGTAAGGAATATACAGGTCTATGTGAAAAGTACTAAAATAACTAACTTGTCGCATGCATTAACATATGTACATCTCAAAATCAGTGCTTTTAAACATAAAGAAATCTTGAACAGTCAATAAAACGCGATGGAACAGCTTCACTAACTTTGACATGGCGAAAAGGTGATGTTACATATATAAGAAACCTCTGCAGGTAACGCCATCTCTTGACTCCCTGTGGCTCGTGACTTCGCCCAAAAATCTTCTGGACTCGGTTAACTTCAGTATCAGAGGTAGCCCTATAGGTAACGAAACACTTCCGAACATCATAGTCCTCATATGGAGGTCTAGAAGATGATTGGAATAGATAGTAACTTTTAAAAATAGAGAACGTTTCGTTGCCGGGTCCATTGGTACAAGTTGCACGATCCTGCTGTAAATCCTCATCCAGGAAACGAAACGA